CTAAAATGCACACAAAACAAGCAAAATGCATTTCAAAACAATTTTTGACGGTTTTTTTGAGTTTTTCAAAAAACGCCTACGAGTTGAACATGCCCATCGCCAAGGTGGCTTACTGACGTCATTTGGCAACAGAAAAAACAAGACTTACCCTTTAGGTTTTTTTTTCACCACTCAACCTACAGATTGACTGTACTAGAAGCAGCAACTTCATGCTGTTAATTTTTTGGGTTACAGTGATGCGCGCGCTTCTTAAAATTTCACTCTCATCATTTTTTCATAACGCGCCTAAAGAAGTATAACTTCAAAAATATTATACGTATGTATATACTGCGTTTACAGAGAACTTCATATATTGGTTTCAATCGCTTGGTAAATTAATGGCGTATAGAATAATAATGGGCCTTTTGAAAAAAAAATTTAGTTCGGATAAGTAAACCATCTCGAAATAAAAGTTGTCATTCTTTACGAATATATCCTTTATTAATTTGTACTTGCACATAATAATATAAATTGTATAAACTTATCTGGAATGCTAGAGACGGAAATGCTCGTTGATAAATCGGGTTAATGTGTTAAATGGTTATATATTAATGCTTTCATACAGCAATATTATAATAAAATTATCATTAACTCGCGAATCTATCTGACACCTATAATACTTGTTATTGCAACATTTTACAAACAAAATGTATCACAGATAAGGTAAAACATGAGCACAAGGTGCTGTCAGCGTCAAATACTTGGTCACGAGACGTTTGAACACCTATTAATTAATTTCCTTAAGTACACAATCAATTTCATTAGTAAAAATATTTTTTTCACTAACTCAATATTTAAGCAAAATACCGCGAAATTCTGCGATTGAAAATCTCTGGAATGGAAGTTTGTTTCGTGTACAATGTATGAGTTATGTGCGTGCCCTCCGAGGGTAGTAGTAGCCATAGTGGATAACGTAGTGTTCGTATACGTAGTACGGCCATTCGTAACAGGGTGCCGTAACATCAAAATAAGTGTCGAGTGACCGGTGCAGGAATATTATCTGGTTTTTAGTGGCTCTGTTCAGGGCATTAGGTATAGCCCTGCTCATTACATCCGGTCCAAGGGCTGACTGAAATGAGCAGAGCAGGAGGATTCTCAGATATCTTCTTTTCGCTCCCCCGGCTGAAGGATGCGTAAGGCATTTCCCAGACAAAAAAAAAGGTTTCGTATACATTAAGATAGAAGAACAGGACATTTTAAAAAAAATGTAGCCGGAAGGATAAATTTGTAGTCGAAATCTACGACCCACCGAATGCAGGCTCTCAGACGAAACGCCTCAATATTCATATTACTGTATTTAACCAATTTAAATAATTTTGATGACATACAATAATTTCAGCTCTGTTGAATGACTACAAATAAAGAAAATCCAATCAGTTGCTGGACCCTCACTTCTTACGTGCTCAAAATTTATTGTTACAAATTTGTAGTCAAAAGTAAGTTGCTTTGACAAGATACCTTCCTATTTTGTTAATTGTGCAATGTGACTTTGACCAAGTATTTAACGTTAACGGACATAAAAAAATATATCAAAATGAGATTACGTAATAATACAATTAAAAAATAATTATCTCTGAAACACACGAGTGTCTTTAAAATAATGCATAATATATGGCATTCATTGTCATAAAAATAAATTTCAGACTTCAACACGTAAAAATATCATAACTTACAAACTATAATATGAGTTGCAAAATTAATATTAATTAAAAAAATAATTCAAAAACTTATTTTTAAACATGTCATGTGACGGGTATTACAAAAAACCTTTATGCTAAAAATAAAAGTAAGCTTTAATTTGCAGTCGATATTTGATATCTTTGAGAATCATACAGATACAGATCGATAATTATTTGCACCATTAACTTCAATTTTCACCGTTTTTTTTTCAAGGGATAAATTTATAAAAATTAACAACTTACAAATCTAATACTTCAAATGCTTACTTATTCCGCAGAAGTTCTACATTATTGATTTAAACATTTATTTTACAAAACTTTTGCATTGCTATCAAAACAATTATTACAATCTAAGTTAGTGTATAATGATTACGAGAAATGTATATTTATTTATACTATAGTTGAAAACGGCTAGATATATTGTAATAAACTTTTGGCAGAGACAATTACATTTACAGAATGATTTTGTGCAATACACACCCATTTAATGGCACGAAAATATTAATATTTGTCTATTACTTTACACAGATTTAAAAATTTAATCTTAAAGTTTATGAATTATATTCAGACAGTTTTCAAAACCTGTAGTAATTTTTAGCAGAATGGCACAATACAGTTGACATTATCTTATCAAAATATTATATTAGTAATAATAATCATTATGAAAGAGTTCCTTTGGACATTGTATAGAAAATATATTTAATTATTGCGTACATATATTTCATTTAAATTTACACTAATTTTTACCATAGCAAAAAAAACTACAAATGGTAAATATAAAAGTCAAATGTAACGAGTGTATATATTTATACAGAGATGTACCGATTTAATTCATTTAAAGAAATCTAAAGAAAATATTCCTAGAAAAAAATCCACGCGGACCAGGCAGCAGACGGGACTCGAACCCGCACCCTTCGCTATCCGGGCGAATGCACTGACCACTATGCTACCGCGGCCCTGATGGCCGTGTCGAATTCCTTCTATCCTTTCTTACGCTGCATGGCAGGCGCCATCTTTTCTGTCCTTTTGTCTACTCAAAGGAAGAACGCAACGTCTTATATTCATATTAAATGGATTACAAATTGGAATGTACTTTTAAAATATTAACACAAACAAACAAAAGATACTTATGTATCCATATTGAGTATAGACGAACATTTCCAAGCGGCATCTATCTTTGATTCCGTCATGCGTTTCTGCGACGTTTTACATGCGTTTTATAATCTTAAGACAGGTGTATATAATAAGTACTCAACAATTGTATATCAACTACAACAGACAGTTAAATAACGTTGGATCAACAAGGCAAGAGTAATATTTGTAGAAGTCAACAAGCGGTGGACTGACATTGTTTTCGTAATTAAGTATGCAGTAAAGTGATTAATTAGGGAACAAATGTTAATTCTCTAATGTCAGCATATATTCCTGATGAAAATATTCCTACCAGGATTCGAACCCATGACCTTTGAAGAAGGCCGTTGCTATTCATTTTTAATAAACAAGTTTTGCTATAAGTTAAACTTTATTGGTGTCGATTCTGGTATGATTCTCTAAACCTAAACTTGAATTTGACAACAGTGTATCCTTGTCATACTCTATATCGAATGAAGAGGAGGGAGTAATAGTTATATTCCTCATTTAACTGCTAGATATATAATTCTAAAGAAAATATTACTAGAAAAAAATTCACGCGGACCAGGCAGCAGACGGGTCTCGAACCCGCACTCTCCGCTATCCGGGCGGATGCACTGACCATTATGCTACCGCGACCCTGATGGCGGTGTCGAATTATTTCTAGTATTTCTTAGGCTGCACGCAGCGCCATCTCCTCGCATTGTAGGTACCCACAATTTCAAAGAACCTTTACAAGTATTAAACAATGCTTGGAGGTAGCGCTGCATGCAGCCTAAGAAATACTAGAAAAAGAGACTTGATGTTAAATTCAAGAGTAGAGAATCATGCCAGACCTCGACACCAGTGTCACTGTCTAATTATGACCTCAGATTTGCGTTTTTTTTATAGATAGGTGCGACAAATGACCTCAGCCCACCTGATGTTAAGTGTCAAATAAATTAAGCCACAGTCAAATGGTGAAACACATTTTTTTATCTACCCGCTACTTTAAATGATAAAGTTAAACTAAGTTGGTAATCAAAAGAACCAGGAGCTCTAGTCTCTTTCTTCGAAACAAAATTTCGGCAACGAACGAATTTTAAACGAAATTTCGCCAATGACTACTCTGTTCCATTTCCGAACACGCACATAAAGTTTGGAATCACAAACAATTTTCGTGAACCAATGGAATGAGTCATGTTTGTGAGTTCTCTTCATCTCTACTTTTTAGATTACGTTATTAACTTGCAAACAATATAACTTTACGACAAAATTTTTGATGACATTAAAAGAATCTAACTCATTAGCCGACTAATTTGTGGAGGTGGTGCAATCGATTGTATGCTGTATACAGCCTAAATTTGTAGTATAATACTTTGATGAATTAGAAATAAAATAATTAATAAAAATTTGGTTTACTTGTTAATTTTACATGCTAAAAAAGCAGCAGCTCATTTTAGACTTAATTTAAACAAAAATCCCAAAACGAAAATGAAAAGGTAACATTTTTGAGTTCGACAATTTGAGGTTAAAATTTCGAATGATCTGTCAAATTCAACTTTTCGTTCCAAAGTTTTGTGAAATAGACTTGTGAAATGAGGGCTATCGCATATGAATCCGCCGCTAGAGGCGCTAGTGTAGCGTGAGGTCTCCGAAATGTCAAATGTAATTGCTTGTTGGTCGACTACGCGGGTTTATTTCTAATTAAAATAATGTTGTGAATAATTGGTAACAATTCGGCTTAATTATGGCAAATATGAGTTATGTGGCAATGAATGTCAGTTATTAAAAATTTGAGCTTAGAAAAATGATTATGTTCCCATTTTTTCCGAATAAAACGGAACTGCGCGTCACTGTGGCATGGCCTATTATGTTTAGGATATGGTTCTTTTGTGTTAAAATACGATCTAAATGTAACCTTTGATTTCATGTGCGTATTAATAAACTTTAAAAGTTACAATTTAGGACCTCACTCAACAGTGGCGCCATCTGGTGAGGCAGAAAACGGTAGCCCTCATTGACTAAGACTAGGTTTGGAGAATTTTCAAAAATTTCAAACTATTTTCGCACGTACGAATTTTCGAAATGAAAAAGAGTAAGGAATGTGCGAAATTTCTATCGTAATTTAGTTTTGTCAGTCGACATTTCTATGGATATCAATTACTAAGATGTCAGTCCACCGCCGATGTATACTCGATGAAAGTAAACTTAAATAACGCGCTCAGCAGGCGCTTCTGGGTTCACTCTCTCCGGCTTTCCTCTAATCTTGAGGTTTGCCAAACTCACGTAGTTGTTCCGGGAGATTCCCTCTCGTCTCTTCTCCTTTTCCCCCACCTTCTCCATCTTCTTCTTCTCCAGCACCGTCGCTAAACTCGGTATGTCTTCTATAGGGGAACTTCTGATAAGGGGAGTCAGTTTATTATCCTTATCAACAACAAGTGCTTTGATTTTGTTCCTTCCCATATCATAATATACTTTCGGCTTTTTATCTCGATAGCTGAACCGCCCGTCGGCAAATTCCGGCCGCTCGGAAGGCAGGTGTCGCCGGAATATAGGCGTCATCGGCTTTCCCATACTGGCCAACTTCAAGTCAGTCTTTATGACGTCACTGCGCTCGTCTGGCATTGAATCGGGCTGCGGTCTCACTTTCCTAGTCCGTCCGCTGGGCGATACTGGGCTTTGTACGAAGAATTTGCTTCTGGATTTCTCATCTATATCACTTTTATCCCTCGCTTCGTTCGGTTTGAATAACCTGCTCAGTTTTGGTGAAAGCAATTTCTTCGTGAAGAAGTTGGTTTTCTCTGGTTGCTTCTGAGGTTCCAGGGTTTTTGGTATGTTCTTGACTCCTTGAGCCATGATAGGGCTTTTAGTCAAGTGGTCTATATTGTATCTTCTGCAGTCTTCTTCGGGGACCCTTCTCTCGTTTAAGTCAGGGTTTCTGAGAGTCACGTCGGCGGTGACGTCGTAGCTGGACTTCTTGGCCAGGAAGGTCTCCCCTTTCTTAACGATGTCGGAGAGGAAGTTCTTGGGGCGGTCAACTTCCATGTCCACGTGTAGACTGGAAGCGGTCCAGGGGCTGACCTCGTCGTCGTCCGATGACGAAGAATCGGTGAACTGACGAAAAAAATTGATTATTGATGCATTATAAGTATTTATTTATTTGCATATTTAAGAGGGGCTCCCATACAATACACTGAAAAAGTAATTTACAAAACTAGTTGAGTTAACCGATGAATAACCAAACTTTGTTTACTAATAAATAAAGGACATCGACGAAATCGGTCTCAACATGGCCAAAAGAATGTCCTTCACTATTATTTTTTTAACTTATTAGCAATTAATCATAGTAAACGAACAATCTGTTTAAAAAATTAAAAATAAAAGTTCTGTTACTAGATACTACAGTCTGTTCATCCTAACTTGTCCTATTTGGTAAACATAAATAAATAAATAAATATTTCCGACACTCACACCAATTAGCCTAGCGCCAAAGTAAGCACTATAAGGCTTGTGTTATGAGATGCTAGGGTAACGGATAGAATACATATACTGTACATATATAAGTATATTTATATAAATACATATTAAACATCCATGACTGGAGTACAAATGCTCGTATTCATCACACAAACATCTGCCCCCACCGGGATTCGAACCCGGGACCTCTCGAGTCGGCGACAGCCATGAAACCCGACGTACAAACCACTCGGCCACGGAGGTCGTCCAATCTTGGCACTCCTTTTTTTGAAAATACAGCATTAAAAATCAACTGATAACTGGATTCAATAGGTTTCAGTCTATAATAACGATTTATTTTAATAGTTTATTGGCATCGTTATTATTTTATTTTTAAATGGGTGATTTTGTTAAAAAGTTGTGTCACGATTGTTTACCTTAATAAATGCAATATAGGCGACCATAGGTATTTATCAACATAAGAATAGAACTAGGTTCCTTAGTTAATAATACTTATCACTAGTATTTATATTATATTTATATATAAAGATTATTTCTGAAATTATGTAAAGATAGTTTATACTCCCATACCGATAGTAAAATATAGAAACAAGTAAATGGAAAGACTGAACATTTAATTTAAAAAGAAATCTATTATTACAACAGGTAGGTATAGGTATTATAGGTGCCAACTGCCAACACTCATAAATCAATATGAATAAAAACATTTATTATTTTTATTTGAAAAAAAATTGTTATTAGTAACTAAAAAAAAAACTTGAAAACGTTGCGGGCGTCCGACTTGCACTTGGCAGGTTTTTCTGTTAAATATGATTGAAGATTTTATTTATTTAAAAGTATTCGTTCATCTAGAGAATTATAGTCTTTTACTGCAAACTATATTACGGTTATTCAATGGTTTAATAGCAAATAAATAAAAATAAGCTCTTCATAACAACCTGTGCATGTTGCGGGTCGCTGTGGTGTCGGCAGTAGGCAGCGGTGCGTCTCGCCTTGCCTCCCTCCCTCTCCCCCTCCGTGGGCCCTGGCCCCGTCCCCGCGCAAGGGGAGAGCTGGCTGCATCTCTTCAGGGGAGACGGACTGTCCAACCACTGCGCGATGTCGTCCACCTGCAGGGAGAACAAATAAATAAATATTTCCAACACTCACACCAATTAGCCTAGCCCCAAAGTAAGCACTATAAGGCTTGTGTTATGGGATACTTATAGGGTAACTGATAGAATACACATACTTTACATATATAAGTATATTTATATAGAAATACATATTTAATCATCCATGACTGGAGTACAAATGCTCGTGTTCATCACAAAAATATGTGCCCCTACCGGGATTCGAACCCGGGACCTCTCGAGTCGGCGACGCCATGAAACACGGCGTACAAACCACTCGGCCACGGAGGTCGTCAGCATATCATTTAGTAATATTTATAGCTGGTGGACATAGTAATATTTTTTTTGTATACCATCAGAAAGTAAAGATTCTTAAGATCAGAAAACCCACCAACCTTATTTAAAATACTGCTTTTTATTGGAGATTCTTTGAAAATAAGGTAACTTTTTAGATATAATATTAATACAAGAAAAAGAAAATATTTTAAATCTAAAAAGGGAACTAGAAATGAAATATGTTGTAGTTTTCCCAATAACTGGAGTCTGGGTCCCGTGTGCCCGCAGTATATACCCGGCGGCGCGGTCCGGATTGGTCCCGTTGGCCCGCAGTATGTCCCGGGCCCAGTCCGGCACTGACCTGCGTGATGTCGATATAGGTCCCGTGTGCCCGCAGTATATACCCGGCGGCGCGGTCCGGATTGGTCCCGTTGGCCCGCAGTATGTCCCGGGCCCAGTCCGGCACTGACCTGCGTGATGTCGATATAGGTCCCGTGTGCCCGCAGTATATACCCGGCGGCGCGGTCCGGATTGGTCCCGTTGGCCCGCAGTATGTCCCGGGCCCAGTCCGGCACTGACCTGCGTGATGTCGATATAGGTCCCGTGTGCCCGCAGTATATACCCGGCGGCGCGGTCCGGATTGGTCCCGTTGGCCCGCAGTATGTCCCGGGCCCAGTCCGGCACTGACCTGCGTGATGTCGATATAGGTCCCGTGTGCCCGCAGTATATACCCGGCGGCGCGGTCCGGATTGGTCCCGTTGGCCCGCAGCATGTCCCGGGCCCAGTCCGGCACTGACCTGCGTGATGTCGATATAGGTCCCGTGTGCCCGCAGTATATACCCGGCGGCGCGGTCCGGATTGGTCCCGTTGGCCCGCAGTATGTCCCGGGCCCAGTCCGGCACTGACCTGCGTGATGTCGATATAGGTCCCGTGTGCCCGCAGTATATACCCGGCGGCGCGGTCCGGATTGGTCCCGTTGGCCCGCAGTATGTCCCGGGCCCAGTCCGGCACTGACCTGCGTGATGTCGATATAGGTCCCGTGTGCCCGCAGTATATACCCGGCGGCGCGGTCCGGATTGGTCCCGTTGGCCCGCAGTATGTCCCGGGCCCAGCCCGGCACTGACCTGCGTGATGTCGATATAGGTCCCGTGTGCCCGCAGTATATACCCGGCGGCGCGGTCCGGATTGGTCCCGTTGGCCCGCAGTATGTCCCGGGCCCAGCCCGGCACTGACCTGCGTGATGTCGATATAGGTCCCGTGTGCCCGCAGTATATACCCGGCGGCGCGGTCCGGATTGGTCCCGTTGGCCCGCAGTATGTCCCGGGCCCAGCCCGGCACTGACCTGCGTGATGTCGATATAGGTCCCGTGTGCCCGCAGTATATACCCGGCGGCGCGGTCCGGATTGGTCCCGTTGGCCCGCAGTATGTCCCGGGCCCAGTCCGGCACTGACCTGCGTGATGTCGATATAGGTCCCGTGTGCCCGCAGTATATACCCGGCGGCGCGGTCCGGATTGGTCCCGTTGGCCCGCACTCGGACACATAATTGTCCCGCGGACACGCACTTGCCCAAAGCTCGCCCCGATGATGTCACCACGCTTATTGTTGACGCGGACTGTGAACAAAAATATTAAAACACTAGTGGCCCGCCCTAGCTTCGCTTCGGTGAAGAGCTGTAGTGTAAACTATAGTTTTTGTTCTCAGGCTTGTGCTATAAACAATGACTTTATTTATATAATTACACGTGTTATTGTGAGTCAACCATAAAATATAGACATATGCTGTTGCGGGATATTATTTATACAATTTTATTTAGAATATTTTCGTCATACATGATTTCTATGTAACTTTAACCATTAAGGCTGCACACGCGACGGAAGCTTAAAAAATGGAGTAACTTCTCCCGTTTTCTCAACATTTCCCTTCACTACTCTGCTGCTATTGATTGTAGCGTGATGAAAAGTATACTATAACCTGCCCAGGAGTATGAAGAATAATTGTACCAAGTTTCGTTAAAATCCGTCGAGTAGTTTTTATTTCTATAAGGAACATACACACAGACAGACAGACAGACAAAAATTTTACTGATTGCATTTTTGGCATCAGTATCGATCACTAATCATCCCCTGATAGTTATTTTGAAAATATATTTCATGTACAGAATTGACCTCTCTACAGATTTATTATAAGTATAGATTATTACATTTTTGCGGTGATAACGTGTTATAAATTCTTTCTTTTCCCTCTTTCTTCCCTCTCTCTAATGGAGAAGTATACGCAAAGCTCGACATAGATGGCGCTGCAAACGCTTGACCCAAACCACAGCCGAATATTGCAGCTGTCAAATTTTAAACGAGTTTTTTTGTTGTTAAGAATATTAAATAAGTGGTGAAAATGTATTCAACATTGTCTGTAATACAACTAAAAACAGGGTTAAAAAGGGAGAGGAGCATCTGTGCAAGGCAGAAAAGCCGATCTTGTAGAAAAGTACTGTTTTTATTATTATGCTAGAATACTCATTCTCGGTACATAAATGCATTTTTCATGATTATTTTGATAGTTCATGGATCTCGGTAACTTTTAGCGGGCAAGCTAAGCTTGCGCTGGCGAAGCAAAAATAAGATAGGTTTGACTAATGAGTAGTCAAAGCTATCTTATTTTTGCTTCAGTCAGACATCTCATAGAGTTAGGTTACCTCTGGCTAAAATGTGAAGTATAACATTGTGTTTTTTTACAGACTTGAGGTATATGACCGCAATTTTAATTTTGATGCAGTTATTTCTGATCAAAAAGAAGACATCCAGATGCCATTATCTGCCCCAGATACATACCATGATATAAACAGCAGCTCAGTTCTACCGCCCCTTTCAAAGCAGCATATAAAGTTATATTTTAGTAGGTAAGCATGCTATTTACTCACAACAACCAGGAATTGCACAACGCGGCATTAGTAATTTGTTTAATAAAAAGCTTAAAAATGAATATAAGCTAATAGGTATGTATTTGATAGAAGTTTTGGGTCAAACGATCACAGCGCCCCTAGTGGCCAAATTTTACAGATTTCTTGTCCATTCAAACAAGATTCCTAATTGATTCCATCTAAATTGTGTTATCAGGTCACAATATTTACAATGCTAATTAATTTGTGAATATTTACAACATAATACCAAATTCAATGAACAGGGTTTTGGCGTCTTAAATGTTTAAAATATTTTTTCTATAATTTTTCCAAGAAATTATCGAAAAGTAACTTATTATTTTTACGACGAAATTATTATTACAGCGCCCCTAGTGGACAAATTTAGCAGAATTCTAGTCCATTCTATAATCACTAACCTTGACGAGATGCATAAGCGGAGAATTGGAATGTGAGCAGTAACCGCTAGTGGTGTAGTAGCAGAGATGGCAGCGTCGGTATCTCTCTATGGCCTCCTTCACAGAATCCCCGGAGTGTCCGGAACTGAGAGCTTTCACCATTCGCTGCAGCCAGCCTTCCATTACTTCGAACGACGGTCTGGACATAAGATAAATTGTAATGCAAGATAAATGATACTGCAGCATTAGAATTTAAACAACACTATAGTCATACTTGTTATTGTTAAGCATGTAACAGCTAGAAGTTTAAATCTAAAGAAAATATTACTAGAAAAAATTTCACGCGGACCAGGCAACAGATGGTACTCGAACCCGCACCCTTCGCTATCCGGGCGAATTCACTGACCATTATGCTACCGCGGCCTTTACGGCAATGTCTAATTTTCTCTAGCCCTTCTTACCTTGCTTAAGATTTCTTAAGCTTTGTCTTTGAATAACTAAAGTGTTTTTCAAATTCAAATCACCATGAGTTGCGTTTTCTCCCAGCTCGATGTGTGGCCTCACCATAAGCAACTCGATGCGACCAGCTCATGGCCAACATGCGTCTATAGGCCAATCAAGCCTCTAAACCAGTGATTCCCAAAGTGGTCTATATCGACCCCTAGGGGTCTATGACAACCTGCAAGGGGTCTACGTCAGCGAAAAAAAATCAATATCAGGTAAGTAGGGGGTCTACCCAACACGAAAAAACATGGCAAGGGGTCTACGACACAAAAAAGTTTGGGGAACTCTGCTCTAAACGCTTCCGGAGCTGCTCTTAAAGAAACAAACACCTTAAAAATACAATTAAATGGAGTGGAGTAGTTTATGGAATGGTGGAGTGGAGTTGAGGTGGAGTGATGGAGTGGTTTGGTGGAGTGGAGTCATTTGTCGGATAGGCTATATAAAAAAAATCATGGCACAACTATACCTTGGTTCGGGCTCCAGCAGGCAGGCGAGGGCTGCGAGGCGGTGCAGGGCGGGGGGACAGGCGCGACAGAATGCCGCCTCGAACGCCGCCTCGTTGAGGCCGAAGTCGGCGCGACGAGGCAGGACGTCCGGATCCGCCGATATGCGCCCTATTATCTGATGCAGCCCCCAATAATATCGACATTTAAAACCAAGAATTGTTATTTTTAAAAAGTATATACATTTTAACACTGATCAATGAGGGCTATCGCGTATGAATCCACCGCTAGAGGCGCTTGTGTAGCGTGAGGTCTCCGAAATGTCAAATGTTATTGGTTGTGGGTTGACTACGCGGGTTTATTTCTAATTAAAATAATGTTGTGAATATTTAGTAATAACTCGGCTTAATTATAGCAAATATGATTTACGTGGCATAGAATGTCAGTTATTTAAAAGCGGAGCTAAGAAAAATAATTATGTCCTTTTTGCCGTACAAAACGAAGCTGCGCAACACTGTGGTATGGCCAATTATGTTTAGAATACGGTTCTTTTGTATTAAAATATGATTTAAATGTATACTTTGATTTCACGCGCATATTAATAAACATTAAAAGTTACAATTCAGGACCTCACTCAACAGTGGCGCCATCTGGTGAGACAAAAAACGGCAGCCCTCATTACAGGAAGAGCTCGATGGCGCAAGTGCTTAGCGCGTTCGGCTGCGATTGTTGAACTTAAGCAACTTTCGCAGTAGTCGGTCATTGGATGGGTGACTAAAATTTACTATCTCGAGCTCCTCCGTGCTTCGGAAGGCACGTTAAGCCGTTGGTCCCGGCTGCATCTGCAGACGTTAGCACCCACCAATCCGCACTGGGCCCGCTTGGTGGGTCATGGCCCAATCTCCCTATTCCATCCATAGGGAAGGCCTGTGCCCCAGCATTAATAGGCTGATGATGATGATTACAGAACTCCGTAAATTCCACGAATCACTGTAAAAATGTCAAATGACACGATACTTTTGAAGTCTATACTAATTAATTATTATAAAGAGGCAGTTTGTGAGATTTTAAGGATGTTGAGAGCTGGATCTTCGAAACTGGAGGCCCGCTCTAATTCAACGAAAAACAAAATTTAGACCGAAACTTCGCACGTTTCTCACTTTTTTCTTATTCGATTATAATTATAATAATATTCGTTCGCCCGAAAATAGATTGAGCTTTATATTCTCTAAGCCTACTCAATGAAAAATCGAATTTGATAGTTTATCGACTCGAGAGGTCCCGGGTTCGAATCCCGGTGGGGGCAGATGTTTGTGTGATGAATACGAGCATTTGTACCCCAGTCATGGATGTGTAATATGTATTTCTATATAAATATACTTATATATGTACAGTATATGTATTCTATCCGTTACCCTAGTATCCAATAACACAAGCCTTACAGTGCTTACTTTGTGGCTAGGCTAATTGGTGTGAGGGTTGGAAATATTTATTAATATTATCGTTCAAATCAAGTATAACCTTAAGTTGACGAAATTAAATTTCGTTTGAACTTCGTTATCGAAAGTTCGTTTCGGAGAAAGAGAGTAGACTCCTTGATTTTGAAGTCTTTTTTACCAATAGAAAGCCACGTTATTATTTGTGAGTGTCATAAGCTATATATTAGAACAATAACTTAAAAAAAGCCTACACCGAATATGAAATAAAATACGAGTAAGTAGAAAAAACAACTCTTCCTGATTCCCGAGGTTCCTTTTAAAAGTGATACAATGTAATGTAATTCTTACTTCTAATTGAATTATTTTTTATTTTATAAACCTTAACAAAATATTTTTTATTTTTATTCCTTTTTTTAGAACTTTAATAAGAATTTTCTCTAATTAATATTTTTTGTTTTGTTAATTTCTTTAATTATTAAAGTCAATCGTTTTTTGTTTAGCTTATTGTTTGATTTGATGTTAATATTATTAAAAAACTATTTAAATGGAAATAAAATTGATTTCAAAACAGCTGTTTTCATAACTAAAAATATGTGACGTCACACTATGAGGGGGGGAGTCTCACAAATGTGACCAGCTGGGACAAGGACGGAGGAGTGTCAAAAAATCAGGAAATTCGTGTGACGTAATTTATGGAGGACCCCTTATTCTGCCTGCAGTGACAGACAGACAGGGTGATGTCAAGTTAACAAACACGAATAACTAAGTGAAATGCCAGTACAATAACAGTTCTGCATCGCATCTGGATATCCCAAATGATCAATGGTATTTTATATTTTTAAAAAGTGACATTGAACATTATATTAACTACTTAAAAACGTCTTAATAATTTTATGGACCATAAGAATGTATACAATTCTGCACTGAACAAATCAAACTCAAAATCCAAGCACAAAAAACAATCTCATTGGTTTTGCGTAACTGTTATGCTAATTTCTCTTTGTTTGCCGACACAGGCGCTATTTAGACAATAATATTAATAAAACGTTAACGTTTTAAAATATGTAAAAATGGTACGTGTAAGTATTTAAAAAATATTAGTCTAGTACTGTTAATATATCTCTCTATAGTTATTGTATCATTCACCCACAATAATAATTATATCACCAAGTCTCTACTAGATGGCGCTGTACTCATCTGGATCACGCTATCGTTTCGTTGCTATGGAACTACAATACTGTTGCATAGGCAAAGCTATGTTAGCCGGGACCAACGGTTTTAATGAGATTTTTGAAGCTGTCACTCACCGTAAGGGGAGTATCACAGCCTTTAAAGAGCCCTTTTACAAAATTGCGCCGCTGCCGTACTGATCGGCGCGTAGGTATATTTATCACTAGTATATATTGCATTTTACGGGTGATGTTTCGAGTCTTATAAAATAATTATTAATGAACTAGACATGGGCGTTTTTGGTTTTGAACGCAAACGGATATTTATCGGATTTCAGATTTCAAAATCGATTTTAAAATCCGTTTTTAGATATCCGATTTCAGATATGCCGAACTTAGCCAATTCACTAGTTTGTGTTATGGTTTGGTTTTATTAGCTAACGACAATCACAAACAATTAATTGTACGTAGCAAGGATACTCGTAGATTTGCACGATTTTCCTTTATGCTTTAAATCTAGGCTTAGGCAAGAGTATATATTCTGTGGCTTAGGACTAGCAGAAAAGTTATCTTTACGGTTAAAAGTAAAACTTTTGCGGCGCATTTAAAAATTGGCATTATATACAATAATTTTTTTTTACATATTTTTTTAGTATTTTGTTTGTTTTTCTGTTTGTTTTTATTATTTTTCAAACCATTTACAAAATCAAACCTAATTACTTCAGGTTAGCGTTCAAAAAATGTCAGTTGCTCGACTTTTGATGTTTTTAGACGACATCTTTTTCAGTAATAAATAATTCCGCCTTAGAGAAGAACAATAGATTTCCGTAAACAGCAAACCGAAATCGGACATCCGAGCACGAAATCGGACTTCCGAAAACGAAAGCACGAATTTCGAATCCGATTTACATTTGGATACTTGTGGTGGTATTAGATCGCTAGCGTTTTGGTTCGGTTAGATTTCTGAAATCGGATTTTCTTGTTGAGAAATCGTTCGGTATCGATTTGTGTTTGAAATCGGATTTTGGATTCGTTTTGATATATCGGACGCATGCCTATAATGAACTAATTATAAAAATATATACATATTTCTGTAGTTCAATGATGGTAGATTAGTTTTGTGAGAGTTTTTGATAGTAATTCTATTTAATTCAATATCAAAATAAGAGGTAAACCTGCATTATTTTTTGGGAAAACTCACGGAGGTTAGATGTTTTTTTTGATAATTAATGAGATAGAAAATCAAAATTCTAATACATTACGTTACAATAAAAACTTATTTTTGATGTCGTAGTAATTAATTTGATCTAATTTATTGAACATTATTGAGAGATTGAGGCGTTTGAAGTTGTGCATATTATCGTTTTTTCCGTAAACTAAAAACAAAAATAGTATTTGCAAATATTCTACATTAACTTACTACAAGAAGAACAAATGTACTGTTTACTTCTATTGGAAATACTCAAAATCTTTTCTAAGGGGATAAACTAGGCGCTCAATAATTACGATTTTTTGCAAAAAATGTGAAAGGGCTCTTAATACTACTTATACAGTCACGTAAGAGATGATAATAACACGGATAGCCCGAGATCGGAGATCCAGCCGCGAAAGCACCCATCTGTTATGTTATGTATGAAAATTTCAATCATTTAAAAAAATGTCATCTGAATGGAAATGTGAATTTTTTTAAAAACAAGGGTTGCCACGTGTAAACAGGTGCATTTTTGTTGATAATAAATTTACACCCATCTGTTTTTTTATTGATATTTACCCAAATTGAAGTAACATATACGCTTTACACGATAAGGGCGCTTTCAATTTATGCGTTTCGGTGCGTTTGTCGTACAACGTACGGACGATCCTTTTTTTCATACAAAACGCGCGGTGCGGCAACAGTGGGGCGCCGGTACGCTCGACAACAGGACATAAGGTGGGGTTTTCAAATGTTACACATCATAACGTGGCAACCCTAAGGTTGCGGCTAAATTTGAGGTCGAAACCCTTGTTTTTTGAGTTCTCCACATTATTTCCTTTCAGATGATATCAATTTTATCAAAAAACGATATGAATGCAATTTTCATAAAAGAATGAATTGTTGCAGAATGCAGAATTTTGCGCCCTGATCTCGGGCTATTTGTTATGTTACCATCCTCTTTATGAGTGATTATGTATTAAATGGCTGCGATACTCCCCTTACGGTGAGTGGCAGCTTCAAAAATCTCATTAAAACCGTTGGTCCCGGCTAACATAACTTTGCCTATGCAACAGTATTGTAGTTCCATAGCAACGAAACGATAGCGTGATCCAGATGAGTACAGCGCCATCTAGTAGAGACTTGGTGAAATAATTATTACTGTGAGTGAATGATACAATAACTTTATATTATCAGTACTAGACTAATATTATTTGATGCAATTTGAAATTTTGATGAAAAAATTGATGTCACTAAATTAAATTAAAGGTATTTGCGGCAAGTTATTTTAGGCGACTCTTGATTAATGCTATGTATACTCACTAATCATTAATTTAAATTAGTTTTTATCAAAAAAAACATACGGGTCTGCACCCAT